CAGTACTCCCTGGTTCACCAGAGCAATGGGGACGCCACCTCTGCCGATTCCCTAGCAACGCTGCCCCTCCCACACTCCTCCCCTCCTACCACTCCCCCACAGATCCAACTAACTCCTGTGCAAAGAAATGTATAGTATTCCCTTTATGTGTTTGCCCTTAGGACAATTATTTCTTTTACCTTCTTCACAATATGTATGATATGTACGAAGGATGGTGTGTTCATGTAACTGAGTAAAAATAAATGAAGAAAGTTATGTGCAGTATACAGTAGTATATCTACCCAAAAATATGAGATGAAAAACAACCCAGTAGCCTGGTGGTTACAGTGACAAGTCTAACCTGGCTACAATGCTGCCAGCGATGTTAACAGATGCAAATGTGAAAAGAAAGTTATCTGTAAATCTTCATTTGCATCAGGTATTTGTAGATTTAAAAATAAATGTTGCAGGTATGGCATTAATAGTTTGTATTGATTGTAAAAGTTCAGAAATGGTTCCTGCTTAGCTACCTTTGAAGCGTTAATGGCTGCCGTACGGACATTAATCGTCTCAGTACAGGTTTTGCCTTTCCTTGAATCAGCCAAATCTCTTGTGACAGTAGAGTGACAGTGAGACAAAACTAAGGTGCCCCAGGGCCAGTGATGCAAGTGATCTCAGTTTTAGCAGCTGCTCCTCAACTGTGACTGTAAGTGCACCTGTGTCAAGATCTAGTCATTCATCCTCTACTTAGCCACAAAAGTGAAAAGACAGAAATTAATGGACAGCTTTGCAATTCGAACGAGTGCTGATCAGAAAGAAAACTTTGATTTGCAAATTGCTTGTTTTTTCTTTGGAGCCAACATTCCATTCAGCGCTGTGGAAGAAACTGGCTGCAGAACTACTGGAAACTGTCCATGATGAAGTTAGAAGAAATATGATGGATGTAGCAATATTAAAAATGATCCAATTATTGCTCACTGCAAGCACAATGGCACAAAGTCCTATTTGCTGACAGTAACTGACCCAGGTTCGACCAAGAAGACTGCAAAATACTTTGCTGACTTGGCAAAAAAAGCCATTGTCCAAGTTTCTGATTCATTTTATAAAGAGGTAAGTGACTACCTAGTATTTGCTTATAAGATCAGTTGATTTATTGTACATACTGGTAAGGCAATGCGCCTTTAAAAGGTAAAACTCTCTTTATAATAACCCCTTTAACTGCAAGAAGTAAAAAACTGGTTGGGTGAAATTTATCCAGAGTATGTGGATGGACTGTTTGAATTCAAGCTCAAGGAAGCCCAGAGTTTCCCAGCCCACATGTTTGAATCTTCAGTCACTTCAGGCCTATCACCTGACAAATGGTGCCAGGTAATTGATATGAAAAAAAAAAAAAAGAAGTAAAGAGATTGCCTGCTGGATTTTGCACATTTCTGACCTCATTACATTCTTGTCCAGCAAGCTCGGCTTCCATTGAAAGACTCTTTTTCTCATTTGGATTAGTGTGGAGCAAAATGAGGAACAATTTGGGCAAAGATAAAGCTGAAAAACTTGTAAAAATATATAAACACTTGAGAAGTAAACAAGTAGACCAAGAAACAAAGTGGTAGCAACCAAGACAGGGTGGACTGGTTTAATTCAATGGCATAAAAAATGTTTTGTTAATTCAGTAATAAGATTTTTCTTATTTTTTCAAGTTGAAATTATTTTGATGCAATAAAAATATACGGATTATTTGTTTCGGAAAATGGTTAACAGAGTGGCAGGAACTTAGCCAGGGTGGATTGGTTTAATTCAGTGGCACTGTAAAAGGAATGCTGTTAATAAAAAAAATTATTTTTGTTATTTTCTTCAAGCTGAAATTATTTCAATGCATTAAAAATACAAGATTTATTTGTATAACAAATTAAATTTTTTATAAACAACGACTTTTCCCACCTTCAAACTAACAATGGAGTTTAATTTCTCCATTACACTTGTTTGTTGTTCATAATACAAATGCCAATGGCCATTCTTTCCCTTCAGAACATATACTAAGTAACAAGCATCAACTAAAGCATGCTTAAACAGAGTTCTTAAAAGGATAGCAGAAAGCAAATTACCTGTATTGTGGTTTTGTTCATTATACATGTAATTAGAAAATGGCAAAATTATTTAAAAAAAAGAAATTTGCCTTTTTTTTTGTGTGTGTGTGTGTGTGTGTTAATTGCCAGCCCTGCGAGGTGTCCCGAGTGGAAAAGCAATATTCATCTCAGGGAAAGTAGGAGTAGAATTCTCGCAAGGATTGCCAGTGTGCCCTCCGATAGTGCCATAGTTGGCATTTGGAGGGGGGGTGGAGGAGGTGGTTGTGCCCAGTTTGATTTAAAAGAAATACGATTGTGATCAGAAGATCCAAAAAGGGTGGAAATTGATTATGAATAGTGTGAGGAGTTAGAGGTAAAGCAAAGATCAAGAATGTTAATAAGTTGGCCGTGTCGATCTGGAACACGTGTAGGGTGTTTAATTATTTGTTCCAGGATAAATAGAGTGCCTCAACTCCACCTGGGTCATCCCTTGCAGAGCCAAGCCACTCTCTGTGATGTAATTGAATTCCTCTAGATAGAGGATCTCGGTGATGGGGTGTGTGGATAGCAATGACTCATGGCAAGAAGAGAGATGATCAAAGAGTTCCAAATAGTAGGTAGAGTTGAGAGAACAGTATAGGAAACAAAGAAAAATAGTCAGAGATATTTTAAGCCAGATGACATCATAAAGGGAAGATTCAAGATCCGTAAGTCGAGCTGTAAGTGTACGTGTGTTGTAGTAGGCGCATACACCTCCCTTAGAGCTGAAAGAGGTATAAAGATTGTAGTTAGAGGCTTGAAAAAGTTTGGGTGAAGCTGCTTTGGTCAATTGAAGTTCAGATAGTAGTAAGAGATCAGGGGAAAAGGTTAAAAGGTGCTCCACAGAAAAAAAATTAGATCTCAGGCCATGAATGTTAGTTGGAAAATGAAGTGTGAAAAAAGCCGAGCCTCCAGCAACCACAGTGACATCAGTTGAGGCCCCAGTAGTTTGATGATGATCAGGTCAGCCCTGGGGTTCTCAACCTTCCTGACCAGTGGGACCCATCTGAGAAGACCCGGCTTTAATATTACAGTACTGTCAACTGATATCATTGGAGAATAAAAGAATAAAAAAATAAAACAGGATGTGGTTGGCACTAATAACAGTGGCAATCTCTTCACTTATTTGACGGTAATAGCTAGGTGTTATAACCTACCTCAACTATTTCTGTTAATGCATATCATTTACATTTATTAAAGACTACCATTGTAGCAAGATATGCACATAATATAGGGTCAGCAAAGGCCCAGATGGACAACAGCAACCACCACCACTTGCAAAACATGAAGGCTCTACAAAATAAACAAATGCCATACACAAGCACTTCACAAATGTAGGTAGTTTTCATACATCAAAGTTTAGAGTGTGCTGGCAGAGAGATGGTACAAATGCTTAATAGGCACATATTAGGGTTTTAATATATTGTACCAGTATTTACATTTATCCCCCACATGATATCTAAATAAGTGTACAAAAAAGTTGCCCAGGAGTAGTCAAAACCACAAAAGATAAAACTATGATATTTAAGGACCTCCAGTACACATACCAATAATAAATTAAAGAAAAAAAAACTTTTATATCTTACATTTTGCCTAACCAAGGATCAGTTCATAGACAGTGGTTAATATGAGTACTGTACTGTATGCCTTTTTAGTTGACAAGTAGTTTAAATGTCCTTATATACAGTAGTGTGTGTCAGTTCGTATTTACTTGTTCTGTACAGTACTGAAAATTTTTTCAATTTATATACCCCCCCCCCCCACATTTTTAACTTGATAAATTTCCCATAGATTTTCTGTTAATGCAAATTTTTGTTCCGTATCTCATAACTCATTCCACTCTCTTTGAATTCCATTAATGCAAATTTCAGGAGGTGGCCTCAACCTCCTGTAACTCAAGGCACACCTTTATAAAAGAAATACTTATAACTGGGGAATAACTTCATATCTGTCAGAAGTATCACTGTGACAAGTCTAAGAAAGTTCCAATATGCTTAATGATTATTGCATATAAACTTCAGCCCCTGGAAGGATTCCCCAAATTTCATATTCTGAATTCTAAGAAGCACACACAACCTTCCCTGGAGAAGGTTTTACATGCAGGACTGGTTATACCAGCTCTGAACACCCAATCCACGCTATTGCAATATATCCATTTCCTTCGACATAGTGGATACAATGTCAGTCCCTTACATTGATTGCCTAATGAAGTACAGTACTGTACTGTAATTAGGAACACCAGACAACTTTAAAGTTTTACTACATAAAAAAAAATAATAATAATAAATAAATAAAAAATAAAATATATATATTTTTTAAACAGATAAGTTGTCAGTCCCAAAGACTCTGCTACAAGCATCTAACACAGATCTACTGTATGAGACTGGATGGTGTAGGCTTGGTAACCTGTTAGGGGCAGTGAAGGTACAGGACACTGCAGATTAAACCTCCTTTTTTCTTCAACGCATATTTGATTGTCTTACTTCTCTAAATGTACAGTAAGGAACTTATTTATAGCTTCATAAACTGGGGGTGCCCTGAGCATGAACCAACGACCCTTAGGACAGGAGACAAGCACTTAGCCACCACACCCCTCTATTCACTATGATCAAGGGAAATGAATGAAGTGTATTTGTTCTTTTTTTTCTTTACAGGAACTACTGGCAACGGCACAATTGTTTTTTCTGTTTTAAATGGTAACATCCATATCATGTGTCAAAACTTTTCTTTAAAGAACTGCTGGACTTATGTATGGTTACAAATGTAACTCAGTCTGCAGTATCACCACTATGTTTATATAGATATGAAAAGTATGACTGCCATGTAAAGTAGCAAGCCTGTAATCATGAGCCATCCACATAGCCCCATGATCATATATGCCAAATATAACATCTGAAACATTCAACAACTCCTTACACCCACCTTTCTTCTCAGCAACATGTGAAAAATCCTTTGTTGCAGCTACAGCAGCTAAGTGAGATATTGCTGGGAATTCTGGATCCACAAGTAGATGGTCTATAGGGATATTTTGGGTGGCCTGAAAACAAGATACATTGAAGACAAAGCATATCAACTTATAATTAGTTATAAAATGCTTACATGATTATATTGGACACATGACGTGAAAAACACCTAATACAGATACTCCCCGGTTTACGGAAAGGTTCCGTTCTTGGACCCTATCTGTAAGCCAAATTTTCTGTAAACCAAAAATGACCTTTCCATAGGGTAAACAAATACTGTACCCAGTACTGAATCACAGATGGCATTTCACAATCCACATGGCATAATAGCCCAAGGACAATACCTTCCCTCAAGAGGTGATGGTGGTCATGGGTTACATTAGACTGGTACCCGGTACCCTTCGGTCAACAAATGTCACGTTTGTTCACAAGTTACAAGGGTGACTGCATAAGACCTAAAAGAATAATGTACAGTACACCAAATATTGACTCTGTGTGATAGTTGGATATCAGTCTAGCAGCAAAAAAGATGATAATGACCGACATGACTCACAATACAGAAAATTTCACATCCACGGATTTGCATAATCACGTTAGGTACTGTACAGTATATGCCTCGGCAATCTATACACCTATTCACCAAGCTTGCACACAACCTGGGGCTCACTCTAGCCGATGCATTTAACTCAATCAAATTTGCAAATTTTTGTTGATAACACAGGCAGAGTATTTCTTGCAGGATTGGCAAAAAACAATGGACTTTTTTTTTTACTGAAAACCTTGTTTGTTTTTAAAAATACTATTATGTTGGTTATATTAAATTTAAAGTAAAACTAGATTAAAATTTGACTAAATTCTGTTCCAAATAGCAGGTACCAGTATAATTTTTATTGCTTAAGATACAAGAATACAGTACAGTACAGGTACCTGGTAGATTTACTTTAATTTGTATTTTTTCAATAAATTATAACTTATTTAAAGGAATTATGATGTTAATTTATAAAGTTTGATAACTTATCCTTCCTAAAATAATTGTCCTGCAACATAATTTTTTTGTATAGTTGACAATTCTTATAAATGGTAATACAAGGTTGGTACTGTACAGTATCTGCTTATAATCAATAACAGTTACATGTTAAAAGTAAGGAGACAGACCACACCTAAAGAGAATATATATACACTGTACAGTGTAGTGTAACATTAAATTACCAAAAGGGCCTAGAACAATGGAAGACGTGAAAAACAGCTGTAGGAGCTGAACATATATGACACAGCAGGAGGTAGGAGTAGGGCTGGTAAGAGCATTATGATACTTGGGAATTAATTTTTCATCTAGGTACATGACTACAAGGTTTAGTGTTAAGAAGTTAATCATATAGTATTATGAGGTAGGTTGCATCCATATGCTTAGTCATGGTTTCAATTTTTATTTTAAAGTTTAAGTGACAGTCCTTTTAGTATCAGTGTTTTTTTTGTTTTTTGTTTTTTACGGGTATTAGCCCACCCGGACACAGGTCACCGACCCACATCAGGGCCAGGGGGGGCGAAAATGTAATAACAATAACAATAACAATAACAATAACAATAACAATAATAATAATAATAATAATAATAATAATAATAATAATAATAATAATAATAATTCAGATAAAGTAAAATTTATAATAAAAAATACAAAAATAAAAATAAAATAATAATGATAACATTAATAATAATGAAAACACTGCAATAATAATAATTATAATAATAATAATAAGGAACCATAAAGAAATAAAAAAAAAAGATCATAGTGAGAAATGATATATGTACCGTATGTTGTGTTGTCAATAGTAAGAGAAACAATTGAGACCCCGCAATTGTGTGTAAATGAGGCAGAAAGTCAGATCAGCAACCTCGGACTTGGTCACAATTTTTGCAATGCCATATAGCAGCAGGGTCTACCGTTAGACAACACATTATGCTTCCAATATCTTCCCAGGCGGTAGTACCTCCCTGTTTGGTAGCTACCTACTGCCTACAGATGAAAATCTACTATAAATCATTAAAACTATCTGGAAATAATAATAATAATAATAAAAACTAAGCAAACCAATGAATAAGACAGGAAAAAAAAATAGATGTTATTGCCTGGGAAGGTTTCTTGCACTACTCCAAAGTCACTGGCTCAGTAACTGAGGTAAGTACAAAAAACACACCCAGTCACGTCATGTGACTAGGATACAGTACTATAGTGTTGCCAGGCCGAGGAAATTAATTTATAAAACCTTAGCTTTTGGTCAGTCTCAATAAGTTTAACTTTCTCATTATTTGAGAAGATAAGGGTTTTCCTAACCTATATACTGTACAATAATTTCATAATCAATAGTACTGTAATGTACAGGGGGTAGTAAAATTTGTGTTAAACAGAATGGTGATCTCGTATCTAAATTATTTGGTGTAAAATTATGCATCGCATTAATAAAGTAAGCAGAAAGCAATACAAACTTGCAGTAGGCAAACCTGTACTGTGCTATAAACTCTTGTACAGTATTGTATAGCATAATTCTTGATATAAAATCTAAAATGTAACAAACTTAATAAAGGAAACAAATCAATTTATGAACGAGAGGATCAATTTACAAACCTTCATCAAGTACGGGAGGACCAAATATGTTACATCCACTGGTGACATGATGTACAGACGTCCATCTGACTGGATAGTTTCCCCAATAAACCAAGACCTGAAGATCATACAATAATTAAATTTGAAAGAAATTATGAATACTACAATACTCATAAATCCTCTTTTTAATTATAAATCAAACACAAATACTGTAATCTCCATAAAAAAAAATCATAAACCTGTATTGTACAGTAGTACAGTGTACTGTATATAAATATATACAGGCAGTTCCCAAATGACAAAGCTTCAATTTACAATTTTCGAAATTAAGAAACAAATAATTTTGTCCTATGCTTTGATTTAAAAATGAAAACCCTGATGTAATGACAAATGTTTTTGCTATTTTTTTTTCCAAAGTACTATGTAATATTGAAAATAAGCTAAATACAATATTGCAGTTTTTACATTACCAGTACAGCATGCTTACTTAATTCACTAACTTCATTATTCTCTAACACACACAATGTTATAAAGTCCACAAATAAGCTTTCAATGTGTCATCGTTCTCTTACAGTCATAATATAACTTACTCTTCAAAATCACTGACGACAAGTAGACTCATCTCCACCACACACACAATCAGTTAGTTGACAATTGTCCATTTTCTCCTCATTTACAGTGTTGTACAGTAATCTCATGTAATACAGGTACTCCTCGACTTTCGACCTACTCGACTTATGACCACCCGAACATACAACCGCCCCAGTCGTACCAAAATTTTTTGAAATTACATATTTTCGAGTCCCGACGTTAGTGATTGCGCTGTGTACTGACAAAATTTTCGTTTGTAATTCCCTTTAAAATGGCTGACAAGCTTAAAAGTGAAAGTTTTGTGGTGCTGAGAAGAAAAAGAGACACCCATTTTAGATTTTCTATGTATTATTTTCGCATTTTTGAATTACGACCAATTCGACTTACGACCTGGATTTGGGTTCCTAACCCTGTCGTAAGCCGGGGACTGCCTGTATGTGGAAAATTAAATTGAAGAAAATAAATCTGTATTCTTAAATTTCACATGCCCATTACTGAACTATTGTATATAAAATCCATCTGTAGAGTTGTAAAAGAAAGTGTGAAAAATGCTGGTAACTCATGCTGAAAGGTTAGTGAAGCATCAGCTGGAACAAGTCAGATGCCTGACTGGTAGAATTTTCATTTTTTTTTTTACATTTATGACTTTATATTTCCTTTAAGCACTATTAAACTTAGCTCCATCATTTTTGTATGTGTGCGAGATAATTATGAATGTAAAATAAAATCCATATTAAACGAATACACAGTCGTGTCATCAGAGCTCAGGTGCAGCATTGCCATTTCATACATTTGTCATCTGCTATGTGGAGTAAAATTGAGAGGCAACTTTAACATCCTGATTTGTAGACCGCACTCGACAGCAGTGTGGAATTTTGTTTTTTGCATGATTTGATTTTAATGTTTTATCAATAATATTGACATAATAACATTAAAGCTATGTCTAGAGTGTGTTGTACCATTATTGATGATACTGTACTGTACAGTAATAATAAAGTTAATATGAAATAATACAGTGCTGTTGTTTCACATTGAACACCAAAATAAGTCAGAAAGGTGGAGCTTGCAGGTTACCTCCGCAATGGGATTACTGGGACGGCATACTAAAATTCTTGTGAGGTGGTTTGTAAACTCCTGTTGTACAGTACAGGTAGTTCTGCTATAACGCGATAATTGTGTTCTTGTAAAATATCGTGTTATAGAAAATCGCGTAATTGAAATAACAGGGCCTATGGAGAAAATAGGGTTAGGTGCAGATTACTCGAAATCGAAAACATTTAGTAGTTAGCCTAACACAAAGGATAGCACAGTCTAAATAAATGTTACATTCATATCTAATAATGAAATCATACAGTAAATGTAACACTTTACTTGATGGGGGAGAAGGGTGATTTTGAAGTTGATAAAATCGAGCTTCTCTTCAAGTGTTATATCCTTTCTTTTACGATCATCACCGGGAATTCTATCACCAGAACGCTTCTTTACTATATTCACAGTTAATACAGTGGGGTATGCTATAACGAACGGATCCTACTACGAATATTCCTATAACGAACGGTTTTACCTATAAAATTGAGAATGCTATCACGAACGAAACTCCTACAACGAACATTATTTAAATTTTTTTTTTTCTAATTTATTGTTTTTTTATTACAAATATTAATGATATTCTTTATTTCAGGGGTTTAGATGCATATTTATGCACTTTTTACAATTTTTACAATTTTATATTATATTTTTCAGTGTTAAGTGGTTGTATTTGGGGGCCTGGAACGGATTAATCCTATAACGAACGAATGCTGTAACGAACAAGGTTCTAGAACCAATTAGATTCGTTATAGCATATCCCACTGTACCACAAAATTGGAGAAATAGTAAGCAAAAATCGCGTTATAGCAAACAAGCGTTCGCGTTATACAAATATCGTTCCTAATTCATAAATCGCGTTAGAGCAAATTCGCGTTATCAAAACACGCGTTATAGCAGAACTCACTGTATTTACATTTACATTTTAGTTCCAGGTAAAGTTCCAAATGATATTACAATGGCTACATATATTATGGGCTATACACCCTATATACCTGCAGTGTCTATATACATGCCAGAATTAATTGAATACTTGTATCATGATTTAACAAAATAAATTAATTATCATTACGTACAGCACTGTCTGTACAGGTATATCCCCATATTTAAATATACATGTCGTGCTGGCCTCCATTTCCTCCCCCAAAACACGACAATGAACTTTGATCGCTACAAGACTGTCTTGGAATTTTTTTTTTTCATTATTATCAACTTCAGCAGTCCACATTCTTCATGCAAAATGGCGCCCCCTGCCACAGGTAAAAAAGTGTGACAACGTGGCTATTCCATTGCTGGATTGGTTCGGGAACTCACCAGATTTAAACCCCATCGAGAATTTATGGCACGAGATGAAGCGGAAAATGTCAACACAGGACACATCAACTGTACATCGGCTACAGGAGGAAACCAAGCACATGTGGGAGTTTGAGATGGATGGAGAGTATTTTCAATGTTAGCAGAATCCATGCCAAAAAGACTTCAACTGGTAATAAAATGTAAGGGAAATATGACTAAATACTAAATAGAAGTAGAATAAAACATTTTAAGTCTGTAAACGTGTTTTATTCATCCCGGAAATGAGTTTTTGTATAAATATCATGTGAAAAATTAAAGGGTATCAATATTTGTTTGCAGTAATGGTACTTATTAATGGCTAATAATCATTGTGTACATTGAAATTTGTCATGAAAACCTTGTCGTGTACAGTACAGTTGTACTGTGGCATTTTAAGACTTTTAACCATTTTTTTTTTTTTTGAGAACTGTAACTCACCTTTTATAGATGAGTCTATGGGAAAATATGCTTCTATTTTCGGAAAACTGACTTACAAAAGGTTTCCAGAACTGGAACCCTTTCATTAATTGGGGAATGCCTGTATACAGTATATGAAGTACAGTATTGACACTAATGCAATGGACCCTGTGTACAGTAAAGCCTCGAATAACGACGTTAATGTGTCCTCCAATATTGCAGTTTAAGGTGAATCATCGTATCGCGAATCATTAATTACCATTAAAATAAAGCAATAATAATGAGATGCGTTCCCAAGTGTGACCTTTTCATATCTTTTGTGAGGCTTTTTACCTTCTTTTCCCCCCAAAACAATACAATTAATGAAAATTGCAAACTATATTCTTTAAATAATGTTTCTGAATGCATCTTATACAGTGGTCCCTCGGTTAATGAACGATTCGATTAACGAATTAGCTCTCAATTAACGAACAAAACTTTGATTAACAAAATCCTTACAACAAACAGGTTTTGTTGTGCGCATCAGCTGATCGGCTAGTCTGCCAATACAGTAATCGGTTTTATGTTAACAATTGTTTCCAGTGGAGTAAATATCAAGAAGGTTGTGCTCTTTAATGATTTTGCATTTTTTATATTAAAATTTAGTTAATATATTGATAATATATGCCGTACAGGGAACTAGTTTTTTGTGCGCCCATCAGCCACTTGGCTCACCTGAAAAAGCGTCTCTGTTTAACTTTGTTTACAGTGGAGGAAACACCATGTTTGTTGGTCTCTTGAATACAGAGTATTTTTACATTTTTACATTAAAATTATTGGTCATTCTGAAATTTGGTTAACATATTGATAATATATAGCACAGTGCAGTGTTGATTTAAATAAAATAACCTTTAATTACAGCTAGTGAACTTAAAAATTTTTTGGTGAAATTACTGCATCAAGCATGGGTGAGAAAGATGATTCCCCTCAGTGTTCCTCTCCAAAAAGGAGAGAGGATTTTCATGTTCAGAGGTTCCTGACATTATTATGGAAGGTGACTCGCCTTCCAAGAAGCATTAAAATGGGGGGGAGGAAAACCTCCTCCACCCCCACTTCTAATTCCCATCATCAACATCAACCAGCAACATTCTACATACACACCTCAAAGTAAGTGTACTGTACTGCATTTTGTTTATACTTTGTATGCACTTTTCTGTGAGTTGGAACCAATTACCCAAAATCCCATTTAAATAATAGATTCAGTTAACAAAATTTTCGGTTAACGAACGACTCTGTGGAACGAATTGTGTTCGTTAACCGAGGGACCACTGTACAATATAAATGAATAATAATATGGTCACACAAGAGGAGATAGGACCCCATTGTTTTCATTTGTGTTTACAGCCGGGAGTCCAGGACGATAGTTCTACATGAGAAAATTAAGAAAATAAGACCCTGGTTGTAGCTGAAGTAAAATTAATGTAAAAAAATTATATACCTGTATATAGTTTTAAGTAACATTATTTAATGTTAATAAATGGAACAATACAAGTAGCTAACCACTAATGACAAAGAAAAAAAAGAGATAAGAGATAGATTGGGAACGCCTTTAAGGATACACCGTCATTTATCTTTTTAAGAATATGTACAAAAAATTCATTATTGTTTATTACTGAATATTTATTTGATTGAATTAATCTTCATATATGCGAAATGAACAATACAATTCATTAATAATATGTAGAATATTAAAACACACAAGAGGATAAGAGACGGCATTGTTGTCAGTGTTTACACCCATAATATCAGTTATTTAATGTACAGTAGAAGTAACCGCTGATATTAAAGAAAAGTGAGACTGATAGTAGAACGTCAATGTATACGTGCGCACTCAAGGAAACATAGTCATTTATCTTAAGAATATATACAAAAAGATTCATTATTGTTTATTACTGAATATGTATTTGATTGAATTAATGTTTATGTATGTGAAATGAACAATGTAATTCATTAATAATATGTAGAATATTAAAACACACACGGGGAGACAAGACGGCATTGTTTTCGTGAGTGACGATGGTTCTACATAAGAAACTGAAGAAAATAAGACCCTGGTTGTAGCTTGTAGTGAACTTAATTTTAAAAAAATATACCGGGTATCTGTATGTATGTTTAAGTAATGTTATTTAATATTAATAAATGGAACACTAGAAGTAGCTAACCACTAATGGTAAAGAAATAAAGCGAGACGATTGGGAACACCAACGTATGAACAGTAAGTGCGTACATGTGAAAACATATCGTCATTTCTCTACATATGAATATAAAAGCAACACTTATTTACTGTTCATATATGTTTTAAATAATATTTACGAATGTAAAACAAAAATTCTACTCACCAATGGTGATAAAATCTAAAACATGAGGACAGCCAATGAATATTGAGCGAGTTTTTACTCAGATGACGAAGTCATCAGGTTCAACTCTGGCTGAAGCTGTAGCTTTCCATAAAGCTGTTGCTGAAACTGTTACTGAACCTGAAGTTGATGTTGTAGTTGCTTATGATGCTGAATTTGATGGTTTAGGCCTTCAAATAATAACTCTGTCGAAAGAACCTTGCACAGCTGCTTTCTTTTCTGATTATACATCTTTATGTAGAGGTCATTTGCATTTATTTAAATTTTAATGCTTTGTTCTGTTAATGGATTCACTTCAGAAAATATGTTCATTGCTTGCTCCATATAACCACAGACCTCTCACCTTTTTCATATCGTTTTAACACATCTAGTTTCTTGGCTAAGCTTATACACTTTCTATTAGCTTTTGAAACAACACTACCATCACTTGCTCTCTTGCTCATGATGAATATGGATACAAAAATGCTGTAAGAAACCTGAAAACTTTTTCTCCTGTTCCAGATGCATGAAAACAAAAGGCCCGCCATGCTACGACTGTTGTTTACTACTCATTAGCAAGGGAGCTTCTTTGCGCAAGGTGCTCTTAATTTTTTTTTTACATAATTTTTTTTTATATAATACATTTTTTAGATTTATTTTTATTATATTTTGGTCGTAAATACGAATGAAATAAGGACGTAAATTGAATTGGGTCCTAAATTAACTCGGGTTTTAAATATGAAAAGTTGTTGGTCGAACCGTTGTTATCGGAGTCTTTACTGTATTGCCCCTCAGGAAAGACAATTCAGAAGATTTATACTGGGGAATCACTTCAACATTAAGTACTGTAGTAGTATCAGTAGCTTAACCTTGTTCACATAATGTAACCAATTTAATCATGAGGTCAATTCCATGTCTTAAGTCAGTGAGGCATCCATATGAACCCAAATAACATATCACTACTGAGCACATACCTGTGACTTTCATCAAAAGCAACCAGATCCAATATTTTTTTGTGATCCTCATCAAAAACATACATAGCAGATTTATTGGTATTCGGATGTTTCAGCTTAATCACTTGTATGTTTGATGATGAAAACAGAGAATCTGCAAAGAAAAGACAATGTTAAATACAGTATATGACTATGTACAGTACTGTATTGTATTTTCTTTTGTGTAATATGGTATGTGTCTAGTTTCGTTTCTAAATTATATACTATAGAGAATTTGAACAGCAGGTCAAGTACTGACTTAATTTCACTTGTCTCAGGACCTGTGAAGTATATACCTGTACTACATCTACTTGACCAACATCCAAATAGTAGGAGTACCAAAACAAAATTAACAAATACAAGCATTACATTGCAAAAGTTACATTAAGTAATATAATCCTGATATTAAAACCTAGGCATGCATACAGTATGTCAGGGCATACCTGAAGGGAACTACAGGTTAACATCTAAATTTAAGTACTGATCCTGGAAATCCCATTTTATAGCAGTAGGGATAAGGAGACTCATTCTCTTTCAGGTGATTATTAACATCTATCAATTCACTCTTTGTCCTTCTGTAAAATGGGTTACTATAAATGTTTATTTTGTTATAGTAAGTGAGGTATCCGAGTGCCACCACAATTTTGACGGCCCCTTTTTGGATACCTTTGGCATATCTCAAAAGACCAAGCAGAATTGCAATACCTGTACAGTACTGTACACCAAGTGAGATAACACTGCTTCTGAGAAGCTTTATTTACCCTTGGGATGCCAAAACTGATTACTGGTAGTTCCACAAAACGTTTCCATCAACTGTAAACTATAATAATTTGTATGTTCAATCATTGTTCCTTCTCCTTTCATTAAACGATCCACCCACCCCATGTCTTTGTATGTAATAAGTCATTTTTGTCTAATGTATATTTTCAGCCTTCGGGCTGCCGACTTTTTCAATAAACCGTTAATTATTATTATTATTATTATTACGCATACACACACACACACACCATTATGTCATAGTTTGGATTTTAAAATAAAAGAAAAAAAGTGAAATATAAAAAATATACAATACTGTACTGTACATGTATAAAATACAGAAATTCTGCAAAATTAAAAAAAAAAAAATTAAAGATGGCCCCTTATCATATTATCAGCCGATGTTATCTGTTTATGAAACATGAACCATTGCCAGTAACAAGTCATATTCTTGTTTCTATTGAAACTGACCCATTTATATGGGAACCATAGTCGAGCAAGCCTAACTTCTTCATTTCATTGTAACTAATCCCAGGAAGAGCAACTTGAAAGCACAAAACCACAAGGGAAATGAGAAGAGTTATGATTTCATTGTTTAAGAGTATTGTACAGTAGTTTGTGTTCAGTCGAGATAGCAGTGCCACAAGTCCAGTCAACTGTAAGGGCAAACTATTTTGGAGTGAGAATTGTGAACTCTCGGAACAATCTGCCAGAGTGTTGTGACTGCACCAAGTGTGAGATCCTTCAAACCAGACCAACACTGGAGCAGGTTCAGATACAATCAGGAGCCAGTGCATGCCCAGTATTTGCCAAAAGTGTGTAATAAAGATGTGACCAATCAGCCAAGTGGCTAATGAGCCAATCAGTGGAGACAATAAAAGTGTAAAATAAGAGATACTATACTACACAGTAAGCACAAAAGCTGTTAGCAAGTGGATCAAGTGGTTTGTGGAGGTAAGCACCTTGACAAATAAACAATGATCAAGCCAACCTTGCTCACACCGTCTGAAGACCAAAGGATTACGGAATGCATACAAGCTAGACCTAAACGCAGTGGAAGAGTTGCAACTGCAGTGCACGTCATGAATGGTAGTGCAGTGACTGAAATTAGTAGGCTACTAAAATCTAAGGTACCTCAGGCCTACCAACTATTCAGTAATTTCAAGATGGCTCAACCTTTTTGTGATGTTTTCACCAAAACTGTACATGGGAAAACAAAAAAATGTGCACATACAAGTACTACTGTATGTACATTGTACAGTATCTGAAAAACAAGATCACCTGAGATTCTCCCCCCTCCCCCCCAAGTTTAATCCACCTGAAGTTTAGCCACCTTTTGTTAGGTAAGCTAATCTTCAGGTGGAATAACCTGGTGAAGCAAATCTTCAGGAGATCCAAAAAAATTTTGGAATGAGAATCTTTACTTTTTACTTTTTTTTTACTTTTATCCTCTTCACCACTGATTGGCTCCTTAGCCGCTTGGGTGATCGGTCAAATCTTCGATACGCATTATTGGCAGATACTGGGCATGCACTGGTTCCTGAAGATATTGGAACCTGCTCCAGTGTTGGTCAAGTCTGGTCTTGCGTGAGCTCACACTCGGTGCCGCCACAACGCTTTCTGGCAGATTGTTCCAAAAGTTCACAGTTCTCACTCCGAAAAAATTTGCCCTCACAGTTTTCTGGAGTTGTGGCTTCAGAAAACTGCGAGGGCAAATCTAGTAAATTATGTGTATTGTGAAATTATTTTTTTACATACAGTATAGAATTTAGTAGAGTACAAGTGATCGCGGGCACATTCGTGCCCTTGTGAGAGTTTGAACGCTCGTGACAGCGTACAGCGAATGAGGGTGTGCCAAGTCAGTGGACTTGCATGGTTAATTAGGGTGCGCCAAGTCCGTAGACTTGCATCGTTTTCCATTGTAAATATAATTGTTAACTAATGCCTTCCTAAAGAAACCATCGATATGGGACCAGGTTTGTTCGACTCTACGAATTTTTTGCAATTTTTCCACCAAGTTTGATGAAAAACGATTGTGCCGTTTCGGCTGCCCAGAGCACGCACGCACGCATGCACGCACACACACACACGCCTAGCGCTATAGTATATTAGATAGTACAGTACTATACTATTACAAAACTCAGGTATGGGAAGAGCCATCCATATGACCATAGCAGATGGATTATGTATACTGATATTTGTGGTGTCAGCCACCAGAGCATCACAGGGGAGAATGGCACAGTAATGACAAGTGAAAAAAGGCAGTGGGGCCCCCAAAAGATTCATATTACATGAATAATAGCCCCCAGTTTATTTCACCTGATGATTAAATACCCTAATGCTACCTTGGGTATTGGTTACTTTAGATTAGGTTAAGTTGGGTCAGTTTAGGTTAGACTTAGGGTGTTAAATCACCAGGTGATATAAGGTGAGGGGTTCATCATCATCATCATCATATGATCCAATTTTTCTACTGTTGTGGGCTAAAATCAAATTAGCCATCTGGTGGAACAAAATCGTTGTTCAACAAAAGTCCTGTAAGGCTTCCAAAGGGTAGTGTACAGGATCATCCTATTAATCCCACTAGTTTATTAGCAAGATTCACCTTCTCGCAATGATGCAAGAGCTTCAATTCATTTTCAAGTCCTATTCTTTCGAGTACCACATGTTCTGTTAAAAATAAATCTACTTTGGTGGTGCCTGTTGTAAAGCATTATTGCCAGTTAAGAGGACATTGGACGTCTTACATAATGTCCAGTTCCTACTCTGTAAAAGTGGGTTAGGGCAGGAAGAGAATTCAACCGTAAACTTTCTTCAAATTTCTCTGATGGTAACCGGAACACCATGCTATTAGGTAATCACAGCTAACCCACCCAAACACAGAAATGGCCATAGAGCAGTGATGAAGAAGTTTTACAGAATTGTTTTAGGAATCAGTATTCATTGTCTGAAGCAAAACTGGATGAATATGTAGCTGTACCTATGATGAACAATCCATAACTAAATTAGCTGTAATCCAGTACAGTACAGTATATGTTAATTTAATGGGATTGAACCACGCGAGATAATTATTGTCAGCGGTCCTTTCCTGTTAAGACTGGATTGTTCAATAATTATTTACTCACCTGAGCTGCATGCATCTGCTGCTGGGAATGAGATGTAACCATATTCTAGTGAAACTAATTTCACTTGATTATTTATCTGGCAATGTATACTGACTCCTATAACAAATTTGCTTATGGTAAATGTATTGTCAATGTAGTGCTAAGCTGGGATTTCACTTGTGTAGTAATGTTGAATAAATAAAGTCCCCCAAAACAATTATAATTTATTTAGACAGCCACTTCCAGCAATAAGTCCAACCAGCTGCATCATCAAAATGAATACCGGGTAATTAAATACTGTGGATACTATAAGTGCTTAAAAGATGATAAAATATATGAAGTTATGATATAATAAAGAGGGATGCTGGGTGGGTAGTCTCGATTCCAGCGTAAAAGATGCTGAGCTAGGGAGGGATGTTCGGTGGGTAGACTATCCTCACACGAAAGATGCTGGTTGGGTAGAATTGACTTTGATGAAAAATATGCTGCCAGAAGCTAGCAAGAGATGCTTGGTGGGTTGGCTCGCCCACGCGCAAGGGCGGATCAGTGGGTCAACCGTGTAGAAGCGGGGTCGCATACTCTGGATATGCGTGCTTTGAGACCCTTCTGTAATAAGAACCAAACGCATCAAAGATATAATATCATTCAATTAAGTTAGGTTAGGGAAGTATGGTTGTTCATTATTATCTTGGACAAACGATACAGTACTTGTAAAAAGGTTAAGAATTGCTTTCGAGTTTATGGGTCCCTCCTCATCTGTACACCGAAAACATCATCACCATCTCATACTTAACACTGAAAACATCAATAAAGTAAAGTTTTTACAATTTTAGGAGTTCTGCAAGTTGGGAAAGGTTAGGTAAGGTTTTCAAAAGTTTGTTTGGTGTTCATTTTAGTATTTTAGCCCACATTTTCCCTCTACATTACTGTACTTCAAAGCCCTGGCCATTTTGAACAACCAATATTGTTGATAATTGGGGATGGAGGGGTCATATTGGTTAAAATATTTGAAAAATATATATTTGCGACGGAAACATAATATAAAGTATTTTTTCTTTTTCTCCCTATATAAATAGAAATACTGCATGAAATTCTGTGTTCAACCTAAAATGACTCTAATTAGAGCAGAGGAATTGCATTTTTTTTTCCTGAACACAAATCGACATCAATCTTGTAATTGATGAATGTAAAAACATTTGGCTTGGAAATTGCCAACATTCTGGAAGTCCCAGATACTGCTACATTATATATTAAA